AAGATGGGAACCACATTGGCCCTCTTCCAGTCCTCTGGCACCACACCAGAGCACCACGAGTGCTCATAAAGCCGTGCCAGGGGTCCCGCAATGACCTCAACTAATTCCCTCAGTACTCTGGGGTGGAGATTGTCCGGACCAGCTGATTTAAATACATCCAGTCCCCTCCAGAAGTTCCCTAACTAGATCCTCACTGACCCTTGGCCTAGCTAGGTGCGCCTCCCCTGGGCCCAGTGGGAGGGCTGATCTGGTCCCTGCTTAGGAAAATGGAGGCAAAGAAGTCGTTAAATAGGTTAGCTTTGCCTTCTGGTGAGACGACCAAATTTACTAGCTTGTCTTGCAGGGGCCCCACGTTACCCGGTACCTTCTTTTTGCCCCCTATGTATTTAAAAATGGACTTCTTGTTGTCCCTGATCCAGGTAGCTAGTCCCAATTCCATCTCCGCCTTGGCCTTCCTGACTGCCCCCTGCAACCCCGAGCAACCGCAATATAGTCCTCCCTGGTGATGGCCCCTCCCTTCCATTGGGTATATGCCTCAGTTTTAGCTAGAAGACATTCCCGGATGCTTTCGGTAAGCCATGGGGGCTTTTGTGCCATCCTGCTCCCTTTGATTCGTGTTGGGATTACCACCCTTTGGGCTTGGAGGATCATCTCCTTAAGGAGCAACCACTCTTCTTAGACAGCTGGCTCCCCTCCCCTCCAGGACCTCAGTGCTTCCCCGACTATTCTCCTTGATTAATCAATTCTGCTCCCACACATGCCAATTAGCACACATCAGAGCAGATGTCCAGAATGTGTATAGGTGCCCTTTAAGGCAACAAACTATAAAAACTGCTTATACACTCATAAAGCCATAGATGCCTGAATCTGCATCGCATTCTAGGCATTCATAGATGCTAGGGTTGGAAGGGATCTCAACAGATCATCAAGTCCGACCCCCTGCCTAGGCAGGAAAGAGTGCTGGGGGCAGATGACTCCAGCCAGATGCCTATCCAGCCTTCTCTTAAAGACGCCCAAGGTAGGGGAGAGCACCACCTCCCATTCCCATTCCAAATTCTGGCTACCCTTACCATGAAGAATTTTTTTCTGATATCTAGCCTAAATCTGCATTCTGTCAGTTTGTGACCATTGTTCCTTGTTACCCCAAGAGACGCCCTGGTGAACAGAACATCTCCGATCCCTTGCTGTGTCCCCCTGCATCTCAAAGGCCATTCCTGTGCATGTCCAGAAAGAGAAAGAACAACCAAGAAGGTGCAAGAAACTGGAGTCCTGGATTGGGGGCACTCCCAGGTTCTTGTCCATGCTCCTAGGACTGCTAGAACATTTTGCATTACAGAGCCTTTGGATTAAAAATAAGTGTCGAGAGCAGGGACCAAAACCCAAGTCTCTTCCCTCCCACATAACGTTACATGGGTACAGAGTCAGGCTCTCTCTTGCTATTTCTGGCCAAGTTAATTGCTGCAGAACCTCATTGCTGCACAGCAGCATAGTTTCAGCTGGAAGAGTGGAGCCTGCTCCCATCCCTGCCTAACCCATAGCATGGTGGGTAGGGCATTCTCCTGAGATGTGGGAGATGTTGGTTAGAAACTCATGTTGAGAATGGCCTATAACTCAGGTTCCCCACTTCCTGGGCAAGTGTTTAACCATGAGGTTACTATATGAAAGTAGCCTAAATACAAGTTTATTTGGGGGGGAGAGTGGGGAAGAGTAAAGCATCTGCCCATACCTGAAAGGATGACTTTGGCACCTTGTCCTGAATCTTAGCCTCACATAGACAGAGCTACAGATACGCAGGATTTCAGACATATCCCTCTCTTCAGAATTTCTCATTGGCTAGCTCAGCTGCCTAGATGCTAACGTCTCCTCTTGCACTGTTTAGGGAACTCCGGCTCCTGTCTCAGAACTCTGGATTCCATGCCAGTAGCTCCTAGAATCCGAGCGTAGTGACCCTGAGCATTGCCATGGCCGGTCCCTTCACGGATGTATCTCCAGCTTCATAGTCTTTGTGCTTGTGCCATGTGCACCATTGACACTTTATAAATAAATACAACTAAGAATAACAGGCAGAGCACACCAGGCTCCAACTGACTATACAGTATGTGCACCAAGATTGTCTAGATGCGACACCCTGTGGGTATCTAATATCAGGCCCTGTTACATCAATAATAAGCAATCTGCTCCTCTATCAGTATACATAGATACTGTATATTTGTACATACACCAATCTCTCCGGTATATTTGCCCAACAATTTTGCCTTGTGAAGATTACTTAGATAAAGGTGTACCAGTTGCAAGGGGCCAAAAACTCCTCCATGAGCTTGATGCATGGCTGCTTTTGTGGAAGGGAAGGAAGAGCAAGGAGGTGCCCTGCTTGACATGCTATCCTGGTAGATTTCTGAAGGGAAGCCTGTACTCAAGTTCATGCTGCTTCTCTGAAGTTTTCACTTTCTTCCACACAGCTTCTACAGCAAAGAAATGTGTACACAGGTGTGCAGTGAGGGGCAGAGTGAGGAGTAATGCAACAAATGGCAAACACAGAAACTATAAAGTTCTTCAAGTCAGAGACCATTTCTGGTCCTGTGTTTGCACAGCAACTACTACAACTAGTACGACTGAGGTACTATGATAATACGAATAAATAAACTAACAAACAACAGCAACAAGAATAAGAAAAAACACAGTTACTTACCATGTGCAGACCCTTGTTGATACCCAAGTATTTCCCATTCCCACAACCAACATCAGCCACTATAGACCCTTCTGGTAAAGCCCTAAGAAACTCTACAATTTTGGGCCACGGGCTATGTCTGGTGCTGCTGAAGTGGGCTGCGATCTCTTCGTAGACTTTGTGGACATACTCTTGTTCCAGCTTTGCAGCCGCTGTTTCATTGCCAACGAACGTGGGCGTTCTCTCTTTTTGCTGGTCTTGTTGGCTGTCGCATACAGAAGGGTAAGCTAGACACAGGAAGAAGAAATACCAATAAGGAACTTTCTAAGTTGAACAATTCTTGTGGATTCCATGTATTTTAAAAAGTTAATAAACTTTTACGGCGTTTTTACACGGGCTCTGGGGTAAGAGGGCATTTTAATTAGAGAGACTTTTGGAAGCCATTCAAATTAAAATGGTAGCAGTGTCTCAAGCAGCTTGTTCAACAAGCTTTAAAGTGCCCCTGCTGCCATTTTGAAACACAGGGAGGCTGAACACATGAGATGCTGCAGCATGCTGGAGTGTTCCGATTAGAACACTCAAGACAAATCTGGATGTGTTGGAGCACATGTACAAATGCCCTCAGAATACAAGTAAGACTTCACTTCCTTCATCCATCATCTTAAAAGCAAAAACTTAAGTGTCTGTAAACCTGGCTAACTTACAAATCAAAATGTGAAAACCTCTGATGAAACTGAAAAGTAGCAGCCAGCCCATTAGACCACATGAAGGCTGCTGGAAACTAATAATTTTTCACGCTACTCAAAATTAACAGCCCAAGCCTCCAAAAAAATGTCACATTACCATTGGTGTCAAAAATCATACACTTTTTGATAGTTTCTGTTCCTGTGAATATGCAGGTTACCTAGACTGAAATTCACCTCTATATACAAGAGTGAAGCACTTAAATCTCAGCTGAAACCTGTCTGTGAGGAAGGGAAGAATCATTATCATTCCCTCACCCCCTTATTTTTTTCCTTTATTATAGACTCTATTAGGAGCTGAGAAGCAGTGAAACTAAAATGGCTTGTACAAGGGTATACAGGAAGTCTGTGGTGGAAAAGAAAATTAAACCTAGGTTTCTTAAGTCCCAGCATAATGCCCTAAACACCAGACCATGCACTGGCCCTCTTCTGGAGACAAAATTTCACCCTAAAAATGACATGGTTTAAGACCCTAGAGGGTACAGGGGATTTCCATATAGCCAGCCTTAGAAAGGATCATCCTCTTTGGCTCTTTCCACATCCACTCCTCATTTTTCCAGTGTGATCGGATCATCTCAAAACTAGACCCTGCCCAGTAATCAACTGGGATTCTTTAGGAACAATCATGCTACCCAAACTCCTCCTTTTGAGAATAGATAATCAGGAAAAAGCATACATTTTTCAACACTACACTCTTCATGCATGGTGGTGCCTCCTAAGGAGTTTTTAGAAGAAACAATATCTGAAAAGGTTTGTTATTTAATTACACAAGGAGAACCAGCTCTGGATGTAAGGGCCTTGTTACATGTTACACTGAGCCACACAAACATTGATCACTGGTAGTGCAGTCACATGTTTGGACCAGCAGGGTCCTGAAGGACTGAAAGGTAAGACTCCCCCACTTCACATTCCAGGCTCCTGCTGCCTGCCACCAGGGCTACCCCAGTTTCTCCCTGCCCTGCCTACTTGTAGCTGCCCAGGGGAGCAGGCAGGGAAGAGTTAACCTGTCCACTCAGCAGCTGCTGCTGCCGCCACCACCACTTCTGGGCTGGGGCTGAACCCATCAAGAGAGCAGCAGCAGTGGCAGCAGCTAGGCAGGCAGGTCATCCTCTCCCTGGGGCAGACAGTGTGGGCAGCCACAAGTAATGGGGGAAAGTGGGGCATGAACAGGGATCTGGAGTGCTTGGGAGAGCAGGAGGGGGGCAGTGGGCCTGATTCAAGCCCGCAGAGGAGGGGGGCAAATGGGGTGTTCACACTAACGTGTAGCCTACAATGTAATACAAGCTAGGTAGCACAGATCAGAGATAATCCTGCCCTGGAGTGGTGCAACTTTGAGCCACATAATGAGTTCTTAAAACCAGTTTCAGGGGCTAATATGTGGACAATCCAGGTGTTAAGAGGTCCAGGAGCAACCCAAAATTACTGCGTAACAAGGCCCTACAAGCTATTCATATAAATCTGACAGGTTTATTATATGTTACTCAAACAAACAAGAGCATTTGGCAAATTAGTAACACTGGATTCGAAGCGCAATTCAAGATACTTACTGCAGTTGCAGGGGCTTCTTCTCACTTTCCTAAAAGTAAACGATGTCCTCGTTCCCCTCTTGTTCAATGTTAAATCTCCAGCATCAGCAATGATTGTTCCAACTTTTTGTCCCTCGGAGGCCTGAACGATATCAAACTTTCTAGGGGTGATCCTAATATAAAATCAACACATTATTTAATCTGTGGTGGAAAAAAAAAACTGCTTCTGTTTTTAAAGATCAAGTCTCAAACCTATTCTATTATAACATGTTAATGTGCTACTGCCACCCAAGTTACAAATATGCTGCTCAGAAGCCACCTGCATTTCACATCATCTAAACTGGTCACTCCTAAAAGGGCAGAATTTATGAGTGACTACTGAGCTACCGACAGTATTCTCGCTACCTCTGCTATTATTGTACAGTAGCTTTTCATAGGTCTGATTTTCTTTAAAGTTTTGTTTCCTTCCTTACAGAACAAACTTGTATAGTTAAACATGAAGGGAAAAGTAAATAATACGATCAAAACAAAGACAATTACATAGGTAGCAAATTTCTGTATAACATTATTCTATATCAATCTATATATTCTATATTCAATCTCTATATAATGAAATAAATTCTTAATGACATGCAGTGCTTTGAACTGTGCTATGATAAAAAAAATGAACCATAATTTCATGGTGGAAGTATTTTTTTTTTTTAAAATCAAGAACTCAATGTTACACAAGAGTAAAACAACATACAGAGTAGGGTACAGCTAATGTAAGACCTATGCACAGTAGGAGAGGAGACTGCTACTTCCCGATGGTATCCAGGTACATAGGGAGAGATGGATCTATGATCCACAATGCACCAGATGATACACCTGTACTGACATGAATGGGCAGGTGAGTTTCAGCAGGAAACTGAGTGGCACAAGTTTACTGTCCTTGCTTTTTCCTAAGGCTGAATAGCTACAAACAGCACCTTACTCAAGACTGGATAGGCAAGATGTAAATTTAGGCCTCTAATGCCATTCAACCTATTCTCTTGCAACCTGTAAATTATTTGACTCCAGAGGGAAAATGAATTGTAGGAGTGAGTCAATAGATTTTACTATCTAAAGTGAACCTTAACTTTAATTACAAAAAATATACCAGGTCTGTGCCCCCTCCAATATTTTGCTGGATTTTTTTTCAAGATCCCTGTCTTAGAAGCTAATGAAGAATGAAAAGGTTGTCTTGGAAAGCACATTTAAAAAAAACCAACATAAAAAGTATGTTTGAGTGTAATTGGTACTTGTGTAAATAATGGAAGAGTATTGCTGACTCCACCCAGGTAGACTGCAAGGTTTCTGAAATAAATCTGCTAATTCGTTCAGTTCGGATCTGTAACAACCATGTTTTTTCAACCATCCAACTTAGGTGAGCCATAAAATGCGTCTCTTTAATGCCTAACAGGTACTATAGTACAGACCAGTAGTTTGAGGAAGTGCAGTAGAAAGCCCCTCTAGGCTACCAGAGAGAAAATGTGGGCTAACAGGCAAGAGTTGAATCAAAAGTAAGAGGGGAGCTAGAATGGCTAGAACAAAGCCCCTGATTCTCTTTTGGCAAATTCTTGTGGGGAAGAGCAAAGAAACAGAAGGAAGAGGGGAAGAGATTAACAACAACAAAACTCCTCCATTTTTGTGAACAACCATTTCATACAACGTTGTGAAAAGATTTGGTGTGCATAATGAAAAGCTGCCAAAATAGGAACTGTGCACTGCTGTGTTCAAGATGGAGACAGACTGGAAGCAGAAAATCACAGAAAACCATAAGCAGGAAAAGAAGGTAATGAAGACCCATATGTGATTTCCCATCCATTTCACATGGGGAAAAAATAGATGTCCTTGGAAAATAAATTAATAATCTTCAGGGCAATAACTTGACACTTCAAAGCTGTTATTGTCACACTGATGCATTTCTTGAACTTAGTCATCAAGGAGATTAATGCAGAAATTTCCTCAAGAAAAATAAATCATCTCTAAGGGATTGTCCTCAATGAAGTGCCTTCAGAACTGCTGACTTCAAAAGGAAGTATGTGATTCCCAGCACGAGAGGCATTCAGAGTTATACTGACTTCCATACTGGCAAGTTGAATTTAACCCTCCTGGGTTAAAAAAAAATAGCTGAAGGAAAGAAAATAGGTTCTTCGTATCTTCTGTCAGAACAGAGCAGTCAGTCACTCTCAACTCAAATCTCTACTGTAACTTATTTCCCAGCAATATCAAAACCAACCAATCCATATACATGCCTAGCTGAGAATGCAGCTGTATCACTGGAACTGGGTTCTTCCATGTGTAAACTATGCGACTTTCTGAAAGAAAAAGGACTTTTCACCCTCTTCAGCACTCCCTTGCTCATTAAAATATGCATCTGATTTCTTAGAGCAACGGACTTTTCATTTAGACAGAAAGAAAAGAGCAAACATCCTGCTGGTAATACCAGAAGGCAGTAAATTAGCCACTTGCCTAGATTTTCCATATATCCACAGCAAACTAATGAAGCAAAGCATGGTCAAAGAAATCTTGGGATCTCTCTAACAGAAGCTGCCTGCGAGCCTCTGAAACTACAGAGCTCAAAATGTATGACCAGGCCTCAAGCTGACTTGAGTCTGCCTTGCTCCACTGAATTCACTTAACTACGCTGAAGCATACCTGCTGAGGACCTGGTCTACTGGGTTGCTAGCCCCAAGCTTTATCTTTCTTTTTTTTCCTGTTTGATGCTATATTTAAGGCAAATCCTATTCCTTTGGCAATAACCCATGTACACTCAGGGCTAATCTTGCCAGACAGCAGTCACCATTTTTGAGGTCGTACAATTATTTCAATCCCGTTTTGTTTTGTTTAATAACAAAAAAAGGACACCTACTCAAGGCTGAAAATTTGATTCTAAGGATGAAGAACAAAGTGCTGGAGATATCTTTGCTTGGCACAGAGCTGTTTTATTGCTGTGAGGTCAAGCAGGCTGCAACAGAAGGCACCTATTACATGCCAAACGCCAGCTCCAACATGCACTAATTAGCACATGTCGGAGCAGACTCGATTAATCTAGCACATTCCAGCAGCCTTCATGTCACATATATTCAGCGTTCCCATGCCTCAAAATGGCAGCAGGGGTGATTTAATTAAAGCTCGAGCAAGCTTTAATTTTTGAAGCATGGACTTTTGAATACACATGATGCTGCAGGTGTCAGGAGCCGCTTTAATTAAAGCGCCCCTCCTGGAGCATGTATAAAGACACCAAGAGTGATCCATCTGTTTAAGAAGGAACATTCAACCCTGTCAATAAAACCTGGCTGCGGGCATTTGGATAAGTAGGGAGTGTCTGGCTGGAAGTTTTAAACGTTCTCAGAAGAATAAAGAGAGGACAGGAGGAAGGAAGCCGTGAATGGAACAGTTTGCTCCAAGCAGGGGACCCCAGC